CGATGAAGCAGAATAGCCTGATTAGAAAGGTACTCACCATGCTCCTATGTCAAGCCTTTGTAGCTGGAGTCCTAAGGATAGGTTCCAGTCTGATATATACTAAATATGATGTACGTTCAATTTGTAACATGTGAATTGAGTTAATGTTCCATTAGCAAGAAAAATTAATATGCATTTCACATTAGAACTGGGAAACATGGTGTTGTAATTTAAGAAAAGCAGCATGCGAGAGAGACACCATGTGACAGGGTTCAAGCAGAGAGTTTTTTTTTTATTAGGGAAAGAGATCATGAAAGGGGAAAGAGAAGCAGGGGAGACCAGCCTCTAAAGACAGGAACAACAGGAGAGAGGAGAGAGGAAAGAGAGGGAGAGAGATGGAGAACAGACAGAGAGAGAAAGAGAGAGAGAAGGATGGGAGGTAGGGAGGGCCCTTTATATATATAATTTTTAAATTTAAATTAGAAACAAGGTTGCTTCATATGTCAATTCCAGGTCCCTCTCCATTTCCCTCCCCTCCTCCCATGCCCTCCCACCAACCCCTCAATATCCCCTCATTTCCCCAGGGAGGGTGAGGCCCTCCATGGGGGTGTCCATAGTTTATCATTTCATCCAGGGTAGGGCCTAGACCCTCCCCCCAAGAGTTCAGGGTGAGAGTGCATCTCTCATTGTTGGATGGGAGCCCAAAGTCCATTTGTATACCCGGGATAAATACTGATCTACTACCCAAGGCTCGATAGATTATCTAGGCCTTTTAAAAGGGGACATAGTAAATATGTACAGGTGGTAAACTTAGTGGATGCAACTGAGTACATATCCTGTGGGAACCCCATGGGCAGACCAGTACAGATGCCGGAATACTGACACATAGGACAGATAAATAAACAGCCCTGGCTTGAGTCATCAGGACATTGGTTACTACAGATAACTAGAGAGGGCTGTCAATTATAAAGCTATCAAGTTTGTTTCTAAGAAGGGGCTTTGAAAATCAGTTATTCCACAAGCCAACTCTGATAAATGAAAATTTAAAAAAAACAACAATTATAGGCTGTTACAGAGTTCTGCTTGGTTTTTAACAGACTTCCTGAAAGGAGATTTCACAATCTGCCTCAGAAATATAGATTATTTTTAACAACCCTCATTGTAGGAAAGGTCATTTTTGTATCCAACCAGACTCCTGATTGCTTTAATAAAAGTTCACATCCTCCCTTTCCATTCCTGTTAGAGATGGCAAGAGAGTTTGAATATTAGCTTACTACTAAATGTATGCTCATTGAGTGCCTTCTGTGGGTCTAGTCTCTTCTTGGAACAACCCCTTATGCATTCCATCACCAAGAAGTGAATGCTGTCTTTTCCTTTCCAAGGACCTATTGCCCACTCCCTATTTCTCTTTGGATATTCCTATGTGGGTGCTTTTCAATGCATTCATACATACCTCCATGCTTTCTTCACAATTTGGAAGCAACAGGTTTCTCAGTCAGGTGTTTTGGTTGGTTGTTGTTCTGTCTATAGCTGAAGATTATACTTAACTATTTTTCTCTCACTCAGATATGCTGGAGCCTTCCATGCTCTTCCTAAAGCTTTTGTGATTTAGTAAAGTAGGGATGAAGAGAACAGTAACAGGATGGTATGGATGGTATGCAAAGCCTTGCTTATGAAATAAATAGAAAGGCACCTCCATCCTGGGCCTACAAAGGCAGAGTAGCTCTTTGAGCCAACAACTCAGCAATTCTGTGTCTATGAGAAGGTCAATAGTTATAAACACACATGTACAAATGGAGAGGGAATTCTTTTTGTTGTTGTTTTGTTTTGTTTTTGTTGATACCAGGCAGGCTTTCACTGTGTAGCAGTCCTGGCTGTCCTGGAACTAGCTCTGTAGACCAGACTGGCCTCAAACTCACAGATATTCACCTGCCGTTGCCTCCTAACTGCTGGGATTAAAGGCATGCACCACCACTGCCCATAAGAAAGGGAATTCTTGAAGAAGAGATTCTAAATATCACCCAAAGACTCTGGTTTCCTTACTATGGTCTCCTTTAGATTGAGACCAGGCAAACAAGCAATAAATAGTTGTGCACAGTCACAGTGATTAGCAAGGTTCCGTGGGAAATTATAGAGATTGTACTGCTTGTGAGGAGTTGAAAGCAGTTAGGAAGGGTAACCCAACTATCATCCAAATAGTTATCAATAAAAAGTACAGTCCAAGATGCATTTTGGGAACCACAAGCTCTGTACGTTCTAAAGCTCATAGTCAACCACAATTGACTGAGCCACTCAGGACAGAGTCACCCCAGAGAGGGGGACCTTAAGCTGGCACTTGGCTAGTGGGTAGATAAAGATAGGCAGATACTGGTGGAGGCATGTATATTACACTGACCACTATGCAGAGCCTTCTGTTAGCAGTACCTACCTGATAGGTCAGTCAAGTACAGTTGAATGGAGGGTGACAGTGTAGTGAGAGGCCAGGAGGACAGACACAGGAAGTGGATGTGGAGGCATCTACAGGTCCTGGGAAGTGACTGTGATATGCTCTGCAGTTATGTATCCCCACAGCTCCCCTCACAGGAATAGCCACTTCCCCTTAGCCAAGCCAATGCCCTCTGCATGAGCAGCCACTTGGCTAAATATAATTGCATATGGTTATTCTGCATGTTACCTTGGGAGTGTAGCTGTACCACAGACAATCATACACATGCATATAACTTATCCTTTCTGCTGGGAAGCCAGCATAGAAAGTGTGGAACTAACCCTTTGGTCCTTGTGAGCTCAGCGCTAAACACAAAAAGAAAATCTCTATTAGCTACCCAGAACTCTATAGGGAAAGTCACTCTATGTTCTTAGAAATGTTAGGAAGAAGTACCATATGGGAAAAAATAATGTACAGCACAAGCAGGTAGACTTTAAAAAAAGAAAATAGCAGTGAAGAAAAGGAAGAAGAAATATGGACATTCAAATTTAGAAATGTTTGGGCTGTGGTTAAGGATTTTGGGTTAAAACCCTTAGATAAAAGATGTGGCACAGAGTATTTGCATATGGTATCAAGATTGAAACTGAAATACCAGGATTCTATCACCATCTGACTTTTGAACAATAACTGTAACAGAAAATGTGAACTGTGCATAAACTCCATGCACACTCATGACAAAGTTGTGAGTTCACAGGGGCTAACGGTCACCTGCAAGTCTAGCTGTCTCTTCTCCCCAACCTAGCCAAAGTCCCTTTGGTCAGAATTTTTTTCTTTGAGACAGGGTTTCTCTATATTTTTTTGGAACTTGTCCTGGAACTTGCTCTGTAGACCAGGCTGGGCTGGCCTCAAACTCACAGAGATCCACCTGCTCTGCCTCCCTAGTGGTCAGAATTTTTAAGAATTTATTTTTATTTTTATTTATGCTTACATGTGTGTCTTAGCATTATTTTGTGCTTGTGAATGAAGGTACACAGAGGCCAAAAAAGGGGATAAGATATCCTGGAGGTGGAGTTTTAGGCAATTGGGAGACGTCTTATATGGATGCTGAGAACTAATCTCGCAGATCTTCCGCAAAGGCATTCTTAGCTTCAAGCCATCTCTCTGTTCCCCGTACTCATATGAAATATTTTAATGTAATATTTTGTTCTTGTAACTTAAGTCAGATGGTTCTGCAAATTTTCCTGGAAGAGGAAACATGGTGAAACATCCCTAACCTTAATCTAGAGGGAAACATGCTAATTCTGCCTACTAGTATATCAAGGACCAAAATGGAAATCTGGGAGGGGAAGGTAGCTTTCCCTTGCCTCCCTCTTTTGTCTCACTGTGCTAATATCTAGTGATTTCAATTTTGAACTCATGCAGTTTTTCCTTGGTAATCTCCCTGGTCCTTGGCTCCTGGCTCCCTGTTTCAGTGCTTGGAACAGTGCCTTTGTCTCTGATTTACAAGCTCGGTGGTAAAGCAGCTGCCTTCAGTACACAGCCAGACTGCTTCCCTGCATGTGTTCTTTACTAAGAAGGTGTGTGCTCCCCAGAAGTACCTTTTCAATGGTTGTATCATCGCTCAGCAATTTCGAAGGAAGGAAAAGAGCAGACTGGTCTCAATCCACAGTCTTCTCACTGTGTCTGGTGTGATATGTCTGCAGTGCTCAGTGCGCTCTCTGCCCTGAGTATCACTCTTCCCTCCAAGGAAACAATGGGATGGGAGCATAATCAGGTTGGTGGATACCTCATTGTTCCTCCAGAAGAATTCTGCAGGGGAGATGTGGTTCATTGTGCCCGCAGGTCTGGGTGGTGAGAGCAGCAAGTCTGCCAGCCCCCATCCTGGAATTAGAAAGAAGCTTTGCATCATACCCTGTTGCATGGCACATCTCCACCATGCTTTGCTTATTAAATGTGTCTGTGCAACTTCTGAACTTTCAACCTGACTCCTTCTAGTGTCTGCCCTCCTATTTACCCATTATTTTTAAGTGTTTCCTGCACTCTTGCTGATTTGGTCCCGCTTGATCTCCTCATCCTCTCTTTAATTTGGGAGCACCTTATTTTATGACCCACTAACTTTTTTGGAAATAAATTCACTTTATACTTGTGTGACTAGCATTATCCATTTGATAAGTACCATTTTTGGGGTATGGGAAATGTGTAGTGTTATGCAATTACAAGGTAAATATATGATGTGCTTCTTTTATCCCCTCAGTCCAACACTGGGTGACAGAATAATTATTTTGGACCCATTACATGTACTTACTGCATAATCTGCTGGGAAATTAATTATGTAGTTACTTCTTGCCACCTTCCATTTCCATCCACTTTCAGATGATGCCTCTTTTAGAACTACCTTGTTTCAGATAATTACCTTGTTTTTCCTATGTTGAGATATAATAACCATTATCGATCTGCTTCTGGGATGAGCCACACCCAATATGTATCTGGAAGAGAATGGGAATTCAGCTGTAGCATATCCTGGGGGCTGGGGAGACCTCCACATCCTAAAGTTAAGCTAACATTTTTATTTTTGCTTTGCCCATGCATTCAATAGGATGGAGTAGGAGAGGTATGAGAGAAACAGCATGTACCCTCTGAGAGAACAGTGCCCTAACGAAGTGCTAGAGTCTACCATTGATGGTATCAGAAAATGTTTGCCAGACACAAGAGCCCTTGACAACAAGATATTCCTGTGTCACATAAAAATTGCTCTCGTGATGATTGCATATGCAAAGCCAAGGTTATTACTGTGCTCTGACTCTGAATATGTATATCAAAGGTGACATATTTGTAAACTCTGATCTCTTCTCTTTAACTCACAGACCATGTTAGTATCTTACCCTAGACAGCTTTGTGCCAAAATGCATGTGCCCCGGGTCCCATATGATCAGAGAAGCCACCCTTTTCTTTGTCTTTTGTATGAGTCTGTTTTCCCTCAAATAAAAACATAATATAAAAACATGTTCCAGGAAACTATGGCTTCTTTAACTAAGTTAAGGAGTTGTCTATTCTTATTAGAAAAATGTTATATTCTTTGCAAAAATTGATTCTTTCCAAGTCTATTACATGGTAAGCTACCTTAACACAGTTAAGATATTTGACTAGCCTTGCACTGATTTATACAAAGGATTTAGAAACATGACTGTTATATGAATGAGAGTCTAAATTGTAGCTAGCTTCCTGTGTTCTGAGCAGTAGGCTCCAGACTCCAAAAACATATCATGTGATGTCCTGGGGTGGCTCTATGGCTTAGCCCATGTTAGCCACTTAGGACTTCTCTTGTGTCTTTCAGGCATTGAGAATGCCAGCGACATTGCTTTGTACTCGGGCTTGGGTGCAGCCGTCGTGGCCGTTGCAGTCCTGGTCATTGGTGTCACCCTCTACAGACGGAGTCACAGTGACTACGGCGTGGATGTCATTGACTCTTCTGCATTGACAGGTGGCTTCCAGACCTTCAACTTCAAAACAGTCCGTCAAGGTCAGCGGCATAGGTCCCCCAACACCTTATCCTTAGGACCATGGGCTGCACTCACACAGGTGTCCCCATGTTCTTGGCCCTGTGCGAAGGTAGCTCTTGGTACTGGGAGCCGCTACCAAATTGTTTCCATTCATTGAAACACCAAATTTGATAAAATTATCTTCTCATAAACTGTGAGGCTGCATGGGTCTCAACTTATTATTGGCAACATTTTGGCAAAGTAGTTCAACTTTTGATATATAGAGCATTTAATGTATTACTGTTCTTAAATTATCTGACTTTGTTTTTGAAGAAACCTGATTTTCATTTATGTGTTTCATTAACTAAAATACTGAAGGAACAGCCCTAGACCATAACGTCCCAAATACCTTTACTACATTTTTAATAATTTCTTAGATTTCAGAGAAGTAAAAATGATCTAAAAGATAGCTGAAGGGTCAGTTAAACAATGACAAAATGAAATGCTAGCCTAAATGACTTTTAACTATTGCCAAGTTCAACCAATCTTTTGTTTTAGGGGAAGAAACATTTTTCATGTCAATGCACAGCAATGCTTTTTGTCAAAACAGAGAGTCATTTAATTCTCTATGGTGAGCTAAACCTACTCCTGAATTAAAGGCTAGAATGAGATGTATTTGTTTTTAATATTAGGCAAAAAGAAATTGTCTCTCTTCAAGGGATGGCATTTTTACCTTGTGCCTCATTAGCCAAACCGTCCCCTTTATTTCTACCCATTGTATGGATGTTGCCTACCCCAAAGGTTGAATTTCTGTGCTCATCATCTGTTGGGTAGACAAGCTGCTGAAGCAGGAACTCAAACCTGCTAGGACAGCAGCTGAGACATGACCAGGAGAGATAGGCTTTTAATCTCTTGGCTTTTAATTCTGGGAACATCTGTGTTAAGCCACTATTGCTAAGCCAGTATTGTATACAAGTGCTCATGTTTTAAAGACAGTTATGTTAGAGTATGAAGCTGCTATGAAGCAAGACAGTTATTCTGAGTCACTGTTTCACAACTACAAAATGAGAATGCTAACATCCTCCTCATAATGTTCTTGTGAAATCAAATTTGCCTAGAATAACATGGGAAAGCCCTTGGCATTTGGAAGGCGCTCATATTCTGAATATAACACTAGTTTTTCACGTGTCCTCTGATCAAGGGATGTTAGCATGTGTTGTGTAATAGCAAGCAACAGATACAAGAGGTGAGCAGTGGCTCACCTGAACATTTTGGGCAACAGTGATTTACATAAGTGGGGCACATCTTCCCATGGAGGAGTGTCTCAGAATGTTGGTGTATTGTGGATCTCAAAATGGATCACTTTATCAGATCACCTGACCATCCTATTTAGTTTTGGCTAAAAGTCTCATAAATGTCATGATGGAAGATAAACTATCTTTTGGTAACTGCTACTCTCACCATATTCACTGACGATAAACTTTGTTTTTATCGACTGTGACTTTCCCCTCTACTATCGTGAAGATGATATCCTCATGAACAACATATCTAGTACCCCAGGCAGGGGAACAGTAAGGATGTTCAGCTGAGTGGTGTCCTAGATTCATTTTTGCATTGATATTGTAATGAAATACCTCAAAGAAATGAAACTCAAGGGAAAGAGGGTTGATTCGGCATACAATTACAGATGACAATTTCATCATTGCTAGGAAGTCAAGGTCAGAATCCAAAGCAGCTCATCATTTCCACAGTCTATAGCAGAGAGAAGTGAATGTTTGTGGTCTTCCTTGTGCCAGGCCTACTCTCTCCACTCTTATTCCAGACCCAAACTCAGGGAATGATGCTACCACAGTGAACATTTTCTTCCCATGTCAGTTAACATGATCCAGACAGTTCCCTACAGACATGCCCACAGGTCAACCAATTTTGACAGCCCCTCGCAGAGACTCTCTTTTCAGGAGAGTCTGTTATGTCAAGTCGACTGTTAAATTAAAACTAACCATCACAAGTGTCACCCACTATAGTGTGGTAGAACACTAGCTCAGGAGGTGTAAAGATCTAGGTTCAATGCCTAGCACTGTGAAATAAGTAGGCAAATAAGAAGATAGAAGGGAAGAATGGAGGGAAATGAAAGGGACAGGCATACAGACAAAATACAATGCCTATATGAAATGGGGAAAAACGGTTTCTAAAGAGAAGATAGGGGTAACCAGAGGTGTATGTGGACACGTGGGGGTGGGGATAGGTATTTGACCCTAATCAGGCTTCAATCAAGTTGACAGCCAACATTTTCAACTGTAGACGTATGCATGTAAGTGTGTGTGTTTTCTCTGTGTATCTCTCTGTGCCCCACTCCCTACCCCTGTGTGTGTGTGTGTGTGTGTGTGTGTGTGTGTGTGTGTGTGTGTGTGTGTATGATAGGACCCAGGACTTCACACATGACACATGCTAGGCAAGCTTTCTACCACTGTGCCACAACTCTAGCCTTGTACATACTTCTATGACCAGGTATGTTCCACATCTGTGCTATCTGTGATTCAGAAATAAATTTTCTAATAAGCTAAGTGAGTCTTTAATAGTAGCCGAAAATTAAACTTCAAAAGGTAGGGGTTTATGATCAAATGGCCAGGAGATTTGGGGATATGAGTTTTTGAAGTCTCCACCATGGAAACTGGTGTTTCAAACTGTTTTCCAATGTGTTATGTTCTTCAGTCACACTTTTTTTCCTTGGGAAGACCACAGACAAGAACAAGGTCATTGTCTGTTGAACTCGGTGTTAAGCAGGACAGCTTGATGGTGGCTGCATCTCAACACAAGAGCCCAGAGATGGAGAAAGACCACGTCAAAGGCCCACTAGAGCTGCATCTTCTCATCCTATTAATTTCAAGTACCATATCTGAGACATTTTTTTTGCTCAGGTCCCAAAGGGAAATTGTTTAATATGGTTAGGGATTCAATACTGAGCTGTCGTGTTGACAAACTGATATGGGTGGGAGGCTGGGGAGTGAGGGTGGTTCTGTTATTTACTAATAAATGAGATTACTTCATCACAGGAAAATATCACAGGCTTCTTTTTAATTTTTGTCTTGGGGGAAAAAGTGGTGAACCCAACAGATGATTAAAGCCCCAGTCCAATTTCTTCTGTTTTTATGAAGATTGTTTTGCTCATTTGTCTTTAGCCAGAAAGGCTACCTTTCTAGATGCTTCCCACGTACAATCCATACCAGTCTCTGCTGGAGCGTTCACTCGAAGAGTGACATATGTGATGTCCTAGGACACTGGCTCCTCAGACACGGTGACTGGTAAAGTCCCCAGAACTATTTGCTCCAAAGCAACCCCCTCCCCCAGCTCCAGGAATTCCACAAGGAATTTTCTGCAGCCTCTGTGGGCTCATGTAAGCAACACTGGGTGTCACCACAGTGTGGCATCTATTGCTATTTAAAAGGAACAGATGTTATTTTCCTCCAAACTGGCTTGCAAAACATCTTTCTGGTTTCTTTTTTACTGGTTTTATTGCCAATTAAAATAATCCTGCAAACACTACCTGAGGCACTTTCCCAACCCAGTGTTAGAATTCCTTATCTTGAGAAGAAGGCATGCAAAGAGCTCTGGATATGAAGGAGTAGGGTCCACAGCACTCAGAAAATGACCTGGGAGGCCAGAGGGCCCCATTCCCAGGCATTAATGTGTGGCTCCATCTGGGGAGGGGCAGCTGCTGCCAATCAGAGCACCCAACACTCCAGCAAGGTATTCACCCATTAAGAGGCAACTGCAAACGAGTTCATGGGGGTGTCTTTTAGTGTCTGAGTGACAGATCAATTTTTTTCTTACCAGGAAATTCTCTCCTCCTGAATCCGGCCATGCAGCCAGACCTGACAGTTAGTCGGACATACAGTGGGCCCATATGTCTGCAGGATCCGCTGGACAAAGAGCTCATGACGGAGTCCTCACTCTTCAACCCTCTATCTGACATCAAGGTCAAAGTCCAAAGCTCGTTCATGGTTTCCCTAGGAGTGTCTGAGAGACCCGATTACCATGGCAAGAATCACTCTGGAACTTTTCCCCATGGAAACAACCGTGGCTTTAGTACAATACATCCCAGAAACAAAACACCGTATATCCAAAATCTGTCATCACTGCCCACAAGGACAGAACTGAGAACAACTGGTGTCTTTGGCCATTTAGGGGGGCGCTTAGTAATGCCAAATACAGGTGGGTGGTAAGTGTGTGTTTGCAAATTTCCCATTTGTGTAAATATGTTTGCATAAGTATGCAATAATATCCATCAGATTCATTTTGAGGAGAGCAGCAGAGGCTGTGGTTATATTTGATGTACACACAGCTCAAATGTGCAGCTGAAGTAGGACCTAGACTTCTCTGTGCCTGCAAGGACGGAACACCATGTTTGATGCTGTTGGTAGCCATATTTTCTCAGGCAGTATGTGTGGGCTCCCAGATTTCAGACCCTTTGGGATATGTTTCCTAGGGCATGGTAAGGAGGAATCAAACACAATTCTTTGCTACAACTGACAAGTGTCATGCTTATCCTGACAATTTAGTGCAAGAACTGTCACATTTCTCATTTTCTGGCCTATGAGCAAGCTCCATGACAATGACCCTTAATAATCACATTGGTTCCCTGTAAACTATTAGTGCATTGGTTCTTGCCAAGTAATGATGATGGATCTTTGCATGACCGTTCTTAGAAATTCAAACATAAGTTTCAGGCCTATGTCTTTTTTTTGTATGTGCGTATGGTTTTTCGAGACAGGGTTTTTCTGTATTACTTTGGAGCCTGTCCTAGAACTCGCTCTGTAGACCAGGCTGGCTTTAAACTCACAGAGATCCACATGCTTATGCTTCCCGAGTGCTGGGATTAAAGGTGTGTGCCACCTATGCCTGGCTCCAGGCCTATGTGTTATGCACAACTAATTTCTAAATATGTGTTTCCCTCCTTTGAGTTTTAAAAGAAAAGCTTTTATTGATATTTAAACTGGATATTTTAGATCCCTGGCATATCTCACTTTAAAAATGGTATCTTAGCTGTAGATTGGTCTTCAGGGTTGCTGCCTGAAACAGTATAGGTGAAAGTGATTGGTGTCTCCTCTGAGTCCTAAGCCATAAGACCTTGATAGTGTGATGGGTCACAGATAGATGTTGATAGCTGAGAAAGACAGAATCATTGAATCTGGCCATGTTCTTACACAGAAATTAAGTATAAAACCAAGTATTAGAGATGACCACTGTTTCATTCCATAAAATGAAGTCTGTGACAGGTGAGTCTCTGAGTATGAGAACATCTACCTTACCTGGTAAATTTACCTGATAAGTCTAGTGGTTTAGTGACATGAAATTGAACTTCCTTTTAACCTGACAGATGTTGCCTGGCTGTCCCCCAGACTAGTTGTATCTTCTCATGCACTGTTTCAGAATATACTTACTTCTGAAAACTGGCCTCTCCTGCAGCCCTAATAACGATGATGCCCTCCAATCCTTCCTTTCCAGTGATTTAGTGCACCCTAGGATTACTGGTTCCAATCTGTTTGAATGCCCCAGCTGAGTGTCAATACATGATGTTACTCTAACTTGTGGCTCTGGAGGATTACTGACCAATGGGAGACTCCTTGTAGAAAGAAGTAGTCAGCCATATTTAGCATACATTTTTGTAAAGAAACCTGAACATGCGACAACCCTTGTCCCACCAAAGACTAGGATGTGAAACCAGAGTCATGTGAAGCCAGTGAGTCACCATGCCTTCATCTTAGATCCTCCCCCAGGTCCCCATCCTTGTTTATTAGGGAATATGTGTACAGGATGCATATGTGTCTATTTACATGCACTGAGTGAGTGTCAAGAACAAAACATTCATTGTTCGTATTTGCTAAATTTTCATCAAATAAAACGCAGAAAGGAAAACCCGCAATGAACAAAAGGTGTTTCTTTTCCCTTGCCTTTCTTTGAGGAACATTCCTATTATAAAGTAAAACTCTGATCGCTTGTCAGCCATTCCCCGCCCAGTCCACCATGAGCTGGATGTTTTCAGATGAGAAGCACTGGACAAGATTGAATGAGGTTTAGGAAAAATAAGTGTGGGGAATTGAAACATGCTCCTTGTTACTTGCAGGGCATAAATGCTAACTATGCCCCAGGGAAGAGAAGTGTACAGAAAGCATGGCACAGAAATTAGACTACTCTAATGCCATCCATCCCAAATGGTCAGGAAATGCATTCTGGAAATAATTTATTATGCAAAATCTGGAAGAAGTGACTCAGACGGGTGGTTCTGTTGTCATACCCAATTCAAAAATAAAAACTGTCAGAGTACCAGGTGGTGTTGGGGAGCTGCATGTTTTTAAATCGAAGGTAACTGGTGAATGACATGTTGCAAATGGAAACTTTTTTAAGAGACCATAGGCATAAAACCTTCCTACTGTGTTTTCTTTTTCATAATATGCAACTTGCCACCAACATACTAATGTCTCCTGCCCTATAACTTTTGTTCCTGTGATTAACTGTCTTCAACCTCCTTGTGTAACATTTGTTTGGATAGGAAGTATGTTTGAAGGCTAATATAATTTATGATTGAAGGAGAGTGAAAATTTTAAAGAGCTAATGATTCAGGTTGAATTTAGAAATAATGTGGATAATGCTTCAATCTAAACATAGGGAATTAGGCTTACTTGAAAGAAATGAAATATGATAGGCTCACAAACAGCCCTTGGTGGTGATGGTCTACACAAGACAATGTAACTCAGAGCCTGATTTTATACTGAGAATTTTGAATCCTTTGCATACATTTTCATACTGGAAATACGTTTATTCTGTGTCTACTGAGTTTCTACAGATAAATCTTCAGATTTCTTTTTAATCACAGCATAGAGATCCTAAAGAAAAGGCAATAGAGAGACAGGGGTAAGATAAGGCTGAATGCCTAGGGCATAGGTTCTAGGTGATATATGAGTATCTTGAATATCCCAAGTTACAATCTGTTCCGTACCAGGAAGGGATACGGATAATGGAGAACATGGCATTTGGCAGTTACAGTTAAGTAAGAATAACAAATGGAAGGAGTATCTGATTGGAAGTCCGCAGCATGTCAATAGCAGTTATGCCTACTGGCGTGAATGTGCAGAATGTAAAAGCATCTTCTTACCAAAAAGTCGTGAACAGGATTTTAATTTGTCCCATTGTTACTTCTAGTAAGAGGTATTCACGATTACTAGCATGTTAATGAATAACAATGTGCACGTGAATCACAAATGAGTGGATTCGCAGTAAGTCTTGCATTCCTTCACTCTTCTGCTGCTAGCACACACAAAGAGAAGAAGCTTGTCAACAGCAACCTATAAGCTTCTGCTGCAATTATCTCTAACAAAAGGAATAAGGGTGAAGGCTGCATGATTCCAAACATAGAAGGAGGCCCAGAGATTTCATTTTGTATGACACTCTTAATATTTCTCTACGTTTCTCTTTATAAAGAGAAAGTCACATTAAAGAGAATCCAAGCTTTTTCCAGATGTCTCTGTTTGTCCAAAGTAAAGTGTTTTCTTCATAGCCATAAATAGGAAATTGGAGACATTTCAGATGTATTGAAGTGGCTTCACTATGACGTAGACCTATGCATGGTTAACTCTGTTACCACTTTGATGTTCCCTAGCTGCTGTTTACAAATTTAAAATCACATCGATTGCACAATGACCCAGAATATTCGAAAACTTGTCAGATACATGGTACTTTTTGTAAGTCCTTTGAAAAAGATATAGTAATTCACAGAGTACATTCCTTAATTTACTTCCAGATGTTGCTCGTAAGACAATTTCATTCCAAGTTCAAGGAAAGCATTATCTCATCGGTCATCCCAGAAACCTTTTCTGGAAATAAGAGCAAGATATATAACTACATTTTTTTTTAATTTTGGAGAAAGGTAATTGATAGGTTGATAAAGTCTTATTGACTCAGGTATATTTGGTAGTATCTGGCCTTAGGATAGCCAGTCTTTTAAGGGAACTGAATGATGCTGGCAGATTTCGTGTAAAAATGAAGACTGAATATGCTCTCTTTTGGCTGATGATATAGATCAAGGTCTTCCCCATGTTTTTTAGAGGTCTTCAAGGCTTGGTATTTACAAATCATAAACCAGCAGGGGAAAAATCTCTGTGTGGACATCTATAAGATGCCCAAATAGCATGTTTCAAGATAATTGGGATATCTCTGAATGACCTCTTGGCTTCTTCTGTCTTAGGGGTGAGTCTGCTCATACCTCATGGCGCCATCCCAGAGGAGAATTCTTGGGAGATTTATATGTCAATCAACCAAGGTGAACCAAGGTGAGAGACCAAGAAGGCTAGCATATTAATCATACTTGAATATCCAGTGGGACTTCTAAAGAAAATCTGAATTTATTGTTCAAATGAGACAACGAAGTCTGAGAATAATGCAGTAACTATAAAGGGAATTACAGTTCTGCATTACATCTTAAGGTTATTGGCATCTAAACCGGAGGCACCAAGTAAGTAAGAGTGAGCTGGTAGACAGCTACATAAGAAGGAACTGTGCTTAAACTGCCCACAGTCTCCCCGGCCAACAAAATTAAATTACCTTTGCAAGTGCTACTTGGTGCAAAGCACTGTGTGGAGTCAACAAATGATGAAATCATAACTCTTTAGGTTCATCAGTTTCTTACACAATTTTCTAAGGATAGGAAAAAAATGTGGTCTTCAATAGTTTTCAGGTCTGACAAATTTCAACAGCATTAAATTCAATTACAAGAACAAATACAAATCTTGTCACATACTCTATTTCAATGAATGTAGTTGGTTATTTTCTTACTGCAACTATAATATTTGTAGAAATGTTGCCTTATTTCACACAATATAAAGCTAGCTACTCTTTAGAAAGCAATTTGTCTCATAAACTGGATACATACCTCTGGCACTTTTAGTCGTAACATCTTGGTTATTTTAAAATAGATTTTTCTGTTGTTGTTGTTGTTAGTATGGAATACATGAAAGAAAAAATACTGGAAAGAAAAATAAGCCAGAGGAACAGATGGTTGAAACAGATTTTTGATAGTGATTTACACAGAAGGATTTATGGGTTCCCAGTGGTTCTAACTAGATGTTCTATGGGATTTAAGAAGAATGCAAGACAATTTTCTGCTAGCTGGATATTTGGTAACTCTCTCTGGGGACTTAGGTGTAGCTGTGCTCTGATGGGCACTTATGTCACATCTCCAGTTGTGGAGAAATTGGTTCTGGACCTACACCCTTGCCAAGGTGCTGATGGCTCAAACACCCGCAGCTGGCAGATCTTGGAAACAGACTCAGAGAGGCTAGCTTTGTTTTGGCGTGCAATACCAGACTGTGAACCAGGTACCCAAGAATGTGAAGCAAGGGCATAACCAACGAGCTGCATCCCCAGCACAAGGAACACAGAGAGCTTTGAAGAGTTTCCATACGATCTTAGAAAAGTTAGCTACTTAGAGTGAGGTACTGGTCTATTACCTGTATGCTTTTAAATTCATAATCCCCTAGAAGTCAAGTGGAGTCATCCCTCAGTGTCCACAGAGGATTGCTTCCAGGACCTACAAGGACACCAAAATCCCAAGATGCTCAAGTATCACAGTATGTGCATTTAACCTATGCACACCATGCTTTACATCACCTGTAGATTACTGATAATTCCTGATACCATATTGTCCCAAGATTAAAACTCTTCCCGCTGTGTTCAGTACAGATGGAGTATTTCTGATGTGAGGTTTCTTGTCTACAAATGCAGAAGGTGAGGATCCAGAGTACTTACTGAATAAGGTAGAACCAATCTAACTTCCCTGAGTCATGGCCTTCTGCCAACTCCGTACTCCCCAACCTTTCCCTTCATTGTAATCGATCTTCTGACTCTCAGCTTCTTCCCTTCAAACCTATCCCCAAAGTCTTCCACCTCAGTATATGAGAGCCTGCCTAGGGCTGCTTCACAATTTTCCAAGACATCTAATTTACAGCTCACCTCTATGCCTATCTCTTTCTGGAAGCTGTCTCTTCTTAAGAGGTCAGAAAAGGAAATGTGCCAACAGGCATCAAGTATATGAGGACTCAAAATGCTCCAAAATATTGGATAAAAATGATTACATAGGGAACCCTGCAATTTTAAGATGAGAGGGAAAACTACCTATGAACTTACAGAGTCTAATAACCTTGAATGCAGGTTGACCTAATGAGGTCACTCTGTGGGCCACCTTTTGCTTTTTTTAAGTTCCATGAGAACCAATTGGACTTGTCCATTTGCATCAAGACTATGCTTTTCACTGCTGTCTAGGGAGGTGGATACAGATAGGAATGGTTTCTCTAAGATTGTAATCTGTGAGCTATGTGTTTTCCTACCTATTGGATTGCGGGAATACAAAATGGCAAAAAGTACATGTTCCTATTGTAACCTGCCAATGTGTCCTGTGTCCTGTGTCCTGATGGAGTGGTCACTCTGGGCTGCAGGCTACTCTACTATCTTGGCAATTCTCACTCCCATTTGAGTGACACCGAACTATTTGCAAAATGCTAAAATTAGGAAATGCCTTTCTGCTCCCCTTTTTTTGTTTGTTTGTTTGTTCATTTGTTAAGCTGGAATGAATTTTTCTATCTAAGCCAAGAAGCTGCTTTAGATCTGTGTTCTTTAGTTTTTAATCTTCTGACTAATCTGGAAAAGGCCATTGGAATATCTTCCTTTGTAATATCACTTGAAAACCCATTTTCATTTTATTCCATCCATCTGCCAGCATAAAGTTGCTTCTAAATCCAGCACAGAGCAGGAATGTGCTGCCCTGTTTCATTTCATCCCATCCCTTCTGCTTTGGGGGTATGAGAACGGGATTTGTTGATACTTACAACTTCCCCACACAGAAGATAGCAGGATCTTACAACTATCTTTATGCTATATTTAGATCTGTACCTACCATGCCTTCCTCCTTACCATTCATTTCTATTATCCCTATTTAAGTGCCACCCCAGGGTAGAACTCTGACACAATTAAGCTTGCTGCCTGATTTATATGGTTGTGTATAGGAAATTAAAGACGCAAAACAGCCCTTCTGTTAAAGGAATGTCACATGGCTCTACTTTCATACTTTGATTGTGTGCGTGTGATTGTGTGTGTGTGTGTGTGTGTGTGTGTGTGTGTGTGTGCTGCATTCATATGTGTGTTGGCATATGTATGTGTGGTTTATGTGCATATGTGTCTGGGATGATGGTCTGGTAGGTAGCAGGTGATGGGGGCTACAGCAACAGCTAGGAGCTCACATATTAAACTGTAGGCTGAGGCAGAAATGAGGATAACAGGATGATTTTGAAGCCCCTAAGCCTGCCTACCTCTGCTGCCCCTACTGCCTGATAAGACAAGGTGATAAATCTCCTCGAAGGTAGGGTCACACCTCCTAATCCTCCCCCCAAGAGGTACATCAACTGGGCAGCAACTATTCAAAGGTGTCTATGGGGTCCATTCTCATTCAAACTAGCACAGCCCTCAGGAAGTTTTAGAGTTGAAGCATTTCTGATCTTTGGTTTTCAGGTTAGGGGTATTCACTGTGTATACCTGCAGTAAAAAGAGTCATAGACATAATGAAAATAGAGTAGGTCCCTAATGCATCATAAAGACAGACTTAAAGACAAGGAGGCATCAGGAAGGGGGGCTTTCTGAAGATGTCATCCGAGTCCTGTCTGAAACAGATGAGAAAGTGGTATCTTTCTCCCATCAGGGAACTTTCCTGATGGCTGTATATGGAGGTGTGTGTGGTGGGGGAGTCTTACAGAATGGCTATACCTAAAGGTTTGTCCCTAGTTAAAGTCACTCTGATGTGATAGTGCTACTTTAAATGTCTTTGTTCCAACTGCACTGCAGCCTTGCTGCAGATGGGTAACTAGCTTCATGCAGCATTCCATTCACAAACCAGATGGAATGGTCTCAGGAACAGGGACTAGAATGGTCCCTAGAAAGTGAATGGCAGCAATATGGGGCCTTCTGATGAGCAGCCTCTGGATTCCAGATGGAGGCTGCACATCACCTTCCCACAGACTCCTGACTTAGTGACTCCATGCACACGTGACTCCAGCAGTGGGTTTCAAATAAGCTCACCCCAGTTTCTATATTTTCATTCAAAACGTTTTGGCTGAGGTTTTCAGTGTTTGGTTTTGTTTTGTTTTCTCAGATATCCTGTGTGGGGAGGAGTAGATTTCATCCTTTATAGATTAACCTGTTTCTAAACATTTTATACAAGTTTAATTCAGGTATTCAAATAAAAGGATTCCATGCTGTGACCCTTTCTGGCCATCCTACAATAAAGAATGTTGTATGTCACATTAGACCTCTCCTCCTCACCCAGCTCTCTGCAGCCCGCCCCACCAATGGCAAGAGAGTAAAGAACTGGACCAGAAAATTATTATGGGGAGCTTTCTTCTGAGAAGCAATAAAATGAAACCAAAGGCAAACATTCATTTCTTTTTCCAATTACACTGTCATGTGGATAACCCAGACCAAACGCTTAGACCAGCATTGGAAATGTAAGTGATCTTGCTGACGGTTTTACAAAAGGACAAAAATTTTTGGCATTTGGGTGCAGCACAGATGGGATATTTCAACCATTTTGTTTCCTAGGATTATATATATATGAAATGATATAGTGTACCTAATAAGTACAAAGTTTGGGAAGGTAGACATCTAGGTCATTTGAAACCCCTTTTAAAGGATGCAAAGATAGTGGGTATTGGTTTTAATAGCAGAGTGTGAAATGACATCAAATGCTAAGAAGGCAGAAGGATGTCTGAAATTCTGAGAAAGGAAGATGGGCTTTCTTTCCCAAGATAAGCTTCTGTCATACTATCAACAGCTTTATGTGAGTGTGATTTCACAGTAACCACATACACACACACATACATGCACACATTTATAAACATACATCATACACCTCTTCATAGGCCATTCCTTACAGAGCATGTGCTGAAAAAAATGTCCTTAGCCTTGTTCAGGGTGACCTTATTTTTACAAGGATAAGAAAAATATAAATATATTCATTACTTATCAATGAGATTAAGAGAGAGGCCGGCTGGCCATTAACAGAAATGGGGGTTTATGACATGATGTATTTGTAGCGAAGTAGGTTTATGTCAAACTAGAAGAGCCTCCCACCCCAGCACATGGTTAAACAATACACTACTCAAAAGCCTCAGCTTCTTAGGAGATAAGGAAGTCTTGATCCTACATGACTAGAACTATACAGTAGTCACCATCTGATCTTAGCCTCTTAAGTCAGGCTAAGAGCACTTGTTATTCACTGACCCCGACA